GCGGCTCTAGTAAGCATGGTTCCTCCTGCACCTCTGAAGGTGACTCAGCCGTCTGGTCACAGTGTTCCTGCCACCAACGGTACCTTCGTCACCAATTACGACCAAGGCCCTTTAACCATCAGCGTAGGTTCCCGTAGAGTGTCGCTCCGGGTGTTCATTATGGCAGTTCCGTTCGCCGTCATCAGCCTATACTGACTTAGATAGTTCGGCCCTCTAGTCAACGTGAAACAAATGAGGGCGGTCGACCCCGCAACAACGTTCAGCGTCAGGGGCAACAAAGCTGTGATTTCGGCCATCTCCACCGTCTACGTTTGCCCACAGTCCTCTCCCGATTACGAACAACTTTTCGCTCACCACCCCAAAGTCCTCCAGGCTACGAAAGCAGCTTTGCCCATGGCATCTCAAGTCAAGCAACATACCCGTCTCATCAAGTTAGCACTGTCTTTGGCCAGAGAAGCTCAAGCTAGCTCGGCGAAGCTTGAGCACATGTTCGAACTTAGTAAAATCCGTCCTTTAGATAGTTACTTTTCTTCTACACACCAGCTTTACTTAATAAAATCTAGAGACTGGTGATCTTGCGGGGAATACCGGGCACCAAACAAACTTAAGTTCTAGGATTTGTATTCCATTTCCATATACAAAATCTCACTGCACGCTACACAGGTATAACGGTGTTATAAATGAGCGATCCCGTTCGAGCCTATCACAAAATACCTGTGGAGAAAGCTGACATACCTAAAACAGCCTTCATCACTTCCTTCGGCTTGCCTGAATTTTCGCGCAGGTCTTTGGACTGTGCGAGGCTACATGTACATTACAACGCTTCATCCGCAACATCATATATGGACTGGACTTTGCCTACACCTAACCCGACGACAACAAGTAGCTAGTTTATCGGATGAAGAGCGCCTCGTTCACCTTCATGTACTCTTACAACGGCTGACCTAACATGGTGTCACCGTTAACCCGACTATGTGCAATGTTGTCATGTCCACAGTAGAATTCCTAGGTCAGCGTATCTCATCGTCTGGTTGCGCGGTCTTTGAGGAGAAGGTGCAGGTGAGTAGAGATTCTTGGCGCTGAGTTCTTTCCAAAATCGCCCTCAGTATTTTGGTCTAGTCAAGTAATGTCAAGGCTAGGGGCAACTAATGCATCCCATAACTGATCTCAGAGGAACGCGTGTAAGTTTACTTCCCCGATACAACGCACAAGGGTTTCGCTGTGTTCAAGAGTCCTATCTCCAACGTAGCTCTCCTCGCTTACTCCGAACTATCCGCTCCTCTTTCCCTTACAACTGAGGCACCAGACGTCGCAATAGGAACTGCCTTCTAACCTTACCTTGCAAGGCAGTAGCAGCCAGTCTGTATCCTTTTAAAATGTAGGCAAGCAGTGGTACCCCGCTACAGGACGTATGGTAGAGAACTGCTTGCCTTATACTTAGCTAACGGTTACTTACGTCGTAAATTAAATTGGCGCACCAGCACGGTCTAAAAGGACCAAAAGCCTCTCTTTTTCGCCTATAGCTCAGCATCTGACAAATGGTTGCCAAGAGGAAACAGACACCTAGACTTTGTCATGCATCTGACTGCTGACATACGTTAAAAGTGGTGTCCGCAACCTTGTCGTGGAAACTCTCCCGCTTTAACTTCACCCGTTACACCTTGCCTACTGTAGCACTCGCCGCCAGGGCAACGACCCAGGCCCAAGCCGAAGACCCCTAACGCAACTTGCAGTTAACTTCACTGCACTTTTGACTAGTTTCTCTCCAAACTGCGGACGAAACCATCCGTCGTGTGACGTCCACATTCCGGCCTAGACATCTCGTACTCCTTTCATTCAGTCGCCGTCTTCGGCACCCTGCACTCTCCTTCTCATTCTGATATTCGTTTACCTCCAAAACTAAACACCAAGCATTTATTTTGGTCAAGAGTAAACAAAAATGTTTGTAACTGGGTTCAAGTTTGTTTTGATCGCCAGAGCTCCAAAGTACATCTAGACACCCGTATTTCTCTCGGCGCGGTACTCGCATATAGGCTTGGACTTGGTAGAAGACTTGCCGCCATGTCGCGGATCAGTATAAAAAAGGACATGTGTCGTACGCTTCAATAGACCACCAGAAACCATCTCTTAATCAGACTACCCGACCGAAACTGTCATAGGTGCATTGTTTGACCGTTAAGTGTCCTGCTGCGGATGTCCATCTAAAATTACTACTGATCGTGAAAGGCCTTTAAATGCCGCGCAATTCCATAGGTTCTACAATATTCTAGACTGCCGCCGTGTCCACACGAACGCCTATCAAGCATTCGTGAATGGCCTATTCAAACGCGTGCATCGACAGCTTAAATTGTCTCTCCGTGCCACCACTGACACTGACTGGGGCGAAAACAGTCCGTTAGCAGTTCTAAGGATCCGCAGCAGTACTATATTTGATCTGCAGGGCGCACTAGCAGAGCTGGTTTACGGCACAGCACTCATGCTGCCAAAAGAGCTCATTTCGCCACCCTCAACAATGTATATACCACCGTCAAAGTCCACAGTCTTTCTGTCTCAACACCTGCCTTAGCTGTGTCCGATGCTGTTTTTGCGAGTAGACCGGAACTGTTCGTATGCATAGTGATCTTGCTACCTGCACAGATGCAGTGAGTCGCCCACGTCGGCCCCTCACACCCTTCTGTCTTTCAGCGGATCCTAGGTATTTTATCTTAGACCAGCGGTCTCACGGAACACCGGTTTCCTTCGATCTTCGAAGACCGGCCTAGCACCTCAACTGGCAAAGCTGCACACGTAGACCAGTCCGCAGCTGCATCTTCCGCGCCGGACACATTAGACTCCTTTGTTGTCATTGACCAACCGCCCACACCTGGCAAATGACCGACGCTGAAAGCGAGCCAAACGTGTGGTCCATTTTTCAGAGTTTGTTACGTTTAATATATTCTTTTACATGCGTAATTTCCATCTTTTACTGTAGGTGAGATTTCCTTCACAATGTTTTGCAAAAAGACAAAAAGTCGGGAATCATTTTAGAACGCCAGAAACGTGTACAATCTTTGTGTCGTATACATTCTTAATTTTTTATGGGGCAACATGCCGCCTGTATGGCACAAGTCCTAACCTCCTCATGGTTTTCCTACCAGCACACAATTTACCTGTGCAGTCCCGGAACCTTTTACTTTAACTACCCAAAGCATCCGGCCTCAACATCCTTGCTCCAAGCGACTTCCACCTACCAACTACCGCTTTGATAATGGCTTGCTTAACCCGGGAGCGTCGAGGAACGGTTCCCAAAGCCAAAGGTCCAGATTCTTCGTGGGACAAGGATCGTCATCGCCGTGGAATGATGTGCAGTGGGATTGGCGTGGGCGCTCCTAGGTGCCGCCAGGTAAACTGCGGAAGAATTGTCCTGTCTGCCCTTTTCGGGACTGGCCAGCTTTTAAAGTTCGACCAGCCCGCTCGAACGGCACACTGATGATGCAATATGGTCCACATCCGAATAATAAGTAAGAAGCAACCAAGCATCCCCGACCCATCAAACAACACGCGCGCCCTTTCGGTCCACTTGCGCTCACTATAATTGCTGACAAACCCTCCAGTTCTCCAGTTGCCGCGATGCGATATCTCTATTGAAGGCGTTCTTCATTCAGCTTTCTAGGGTAGACCCAGGTAAGGAGCATGAATCATTCACTCATCCAGTAGGCTTCGACTTTGGCTTTTCTAATTGCTCATATTTTTCGAACGACCATTTGTTTAACCGCTTCCATTTGCCGACCACCGCTCCACTGGTTATTCATGCTGCATAGTGCGGGTTGCTTCTGCAATCTGACTGCCGGAAGGCCGTAATTTAGCTCTGCTCTCCTCCTCCTCCTCCTTCTTTGGTCGCCCCAGTTCCCTCACAGACTGTTAGTTTGCTGGTTCGAACCGGTCCGACGATCGGTACTCAGTGCTTTCCAGCTATTGGATCTAACTTGTGTGGATCATACCATTACCCTTGTTTTCAATTTTGGCACCTTCTTCGTCGAGTCCTGATTGTGAACTCACAACACTGCAGAGCTATCCTATGGAATAACTTTGTTCTCACTAGAAGCTGCAAACGTCCTACAACCGTCCCTCAGGCGGCACTAAAAAAAAGTTAGGAGACCAAGTTACAAAACCTACAAAACCTCGCATCCGAGGGATGTATGGTTTTTCAAAACTGCCTCGCAAGCATTGTCATGTAACGCGACCCCAGCAATGCATGCTGCGCCTGCATGTGCTTGTTTTCTTCCGCTGTATCTCATTATCTACGCGCGGCAGCAAGTGCGACTCTGAGACAGCCACTGTCTCAAGGAGCTGACCTTGACACCGGGTCAATCATGCCAGGGTCCTGGATAGAACTAACCAGCACACGTTCACGTGCCTTGAGTGCAAACACCCCAGCCGCCGTGTCGAAAGGCGCCTGTGGGCCACGTAAAAAGATGGTAAATAGGAATTTTCCGTGAACTTCGCGACACCCATTTCCATGCGAAATAGGGGAAAATCAGACAAAGCCAGTGCAGGCTGCTCAAAAGCAGGCTTGATGCATTTTGATTCTGCGCGAAGTGCATGCTGTCCCCCAATTAAAATCGCCACAAAAGCACCTAAGAAGCTTCATCTGTTTGTAAGTGATTAACCTACTTGCCATGACAGTTTCATCTGCTTGATGTCGGTGTCCGATAGCCACCATACCTTTCTCGCCAGTGTGGTATACCATCAATCCGTTTGCCACTGGAAGCTTATCCACTTTGATTACCTAAAGTCTTTCGATCCGTATCCTCCATGGTCCTGAACAATTTGGATCAAACCCTTATCGCTTCCGGAACATCGCTTGAAACACAAGTTTAACTTCCTGAAAGTGTTCAGCTTAGTTTCGGTGCCATGGTGTTATGCTGCGTCCACCTTGCCAGTGGATTATTTCCCCTGGTATCAGAATCCTCATCTAATTGGTGCCATTATACAATAAATACTTCACCCACATCTCAGGCGTGGTAGGCTGCTTTCGGATTATAGTGTCTGAGGTCTATATTACGGCGCTCGGCCATACCTGATTCAAACGACCACAGCAAGCTGCTCGACCGTCCGAAACATCCTTTCAGATCCTTTATCTCCATGCAAGCGTCCCACTTACCTGCGATAGTTATTGCACTTAGACCTGCAAACGACGCCCACCTGGATCGGGTGTTATTTGCTCGGACAATGATACCGTTTATGATTTGGGTTCCATATTCACCTGCGTGACGCAGCATCCTAATTTACACAGCCTAGCACGGAACAGAACCGCCGGACCCAAACGTTACTGGTGAATCCTGACAATGCTATACGCTAAACCAACGGAAAAATGGGTGCACCCTGACTGCGATTAGCCATACTGAAAATCGGTCCTTCAGAAACGTTCAAGTATGTCAATGTTATTTAACTTGTGGTTGATGGTGGCTTTCTAGTATGTGATGGGTTTACGCCACGAATCGCTGTTTAACGACACTGCGACGTGGCGGATGTGACTTGCCATGGAAATAAAGTCAACGCCCAATAATTCACACGTAAAATGATCTCAATATCCGATATTCTCAAGCAAAACGTTTCTGCTAAACACTATGGGTATCCTACTCTTAAGGAAATTTGGAGATCAATCTCCGGTACCATTCGGATCCGCACCCAACATTTTTGTAATAGAAGCGCTTAGTGATCTTACAGCGTTTCGGCACCACGTTTTCCTCTGACACTGATGAGCATGCCCTTCATCTCTGCATCACTCCTATGCAAAAGTGCGTACAATTTCTGAGCTATGTATTTGCCAAGACGTATTTCTGTCGTGTGGTGTACAGGAGCTTTTAGGGATTTTGTGGCTCATGCAACCGCTTGGTAATGCCTGTACTGGCGTCTAGTGTCGTCGAGAACATAATATCTTATTTATTTATTTATAACACGTACTATCACACGTTAAAACACCTTGAACAACCTATTTGAAACAACCGAATAGGAATTCGTGAAATGTGGCTAACCTGTTAGCGTCTGGTTGAGGTTTGTTGGGCGCTTCAGCAACCTACTCGCAAATGTTTTGGAAACAAAAAGAGTTCGCATTAACAAAACATCGTCCCTCTTCAGAAGTATAACTAGAAAGCGCACGTCGATAATGATTACAGTTTGGCACATTTACGGAGGGCGTCCTTGTCCTGAAAACTGGAGAGTTTGCGTTACCCAGCGTAACTACCGCAACCTGCTTGTGCGTGAGGACAGACTGCCTTACCAACAAATTTGGTTTCTAAATTTGCCAACAACAAAAGCTTCTATAAAGGATGTTAATACCATCCGGAAAGTGAAGGTCGGTTTTTGTCCACTTAACACGCTAGTCGGATTAGCACAGCGTGCCGAAAAGGCTGCTAACCGATTCCGAATGTACTATGCCACAAAATTCGAAATTGACTTCCGTCAATGTTATATTCCTACATCCTTATTCTCACCTTTAACGCTCATTAACACCCATTTTACTGCGATAGCTGTGTTGAAAAGCCTGCTCCCTTTACGTACCTACAGCTTTCACGGAAGCGGCAATATTCACCAGAGAGCGCTGAACGTAGCACCAAAATGGCTGGCCGGGCCATTAACGCATTTCTTCCTGACGGTCTTGGATAAGAAAATTGTTCTCACTATTTAGAAACATGGCTAGTTTTACTCTAAATTTAAAGTGTTAATCGCCCGGAACCCGCCAACTATCGCCCAGTGTTCCTCCACCCTTTACTCTTAAGGCAGAGGAAAGTAAGCATCGCTGAGGTTTTTTTAGATCACCTGGAAAGCCACAACGGCATAGCATCCGGGCAACACGATTTTCGCCAGCACAGTTCAAGCGCTACCAACCTACTGATTGCCAGCAGTAGTTGGACGGGAGCGGCCGATACAGGCTGAGGATAGACGTCTTTTACCTCGGATTCTCTAAAGAATTCTACAATCTTGACTACCATTTTCTGCTTCAGGGGCTCGATAGTTATTGAGTTGGAGCACCTGATCATGGGTGGATCAGCCCTTTCCTGCAGCATCGGCAACTGTAGGTCAGAGTTTACTCTGCGTTGTCCGATCCGATTTATATCAAACGTGGAGCTCCAAAAGGTTCAGATCAGGCGCCGCTTCCGTTTCTCGTGTTAATTGCGGAGCTTACGCATTTGATTGCTGCGGAATGTTTGCCAGTTGCTGACAAAATTAATAGGTGACGGACGATAGCCGACCCGGCAGTCCACCATTCACTGCATCCAGACTTGGACAGAGAGTAGGCGTGAGCACTCCACAATCTGCTACAATTCATTGCGGGGAAATATAAGGTGGCGCACATTCGCCACTAGCCGAAGATCACATACAAGCTTGGAGCTATTGTCCTGCAAACAGTCACGGAGGTGCGCAACCAGGGAGTACTAGTTCTGGCTGACCTTGGCTGCTCAGAACGATTTGAGAGTGCGTCAAACACCGAGAACCAACAGATTGGCGTGCAGCGGAGTGAATGTGGGCGGTTTGGTCTCTTTTGTTCGCCGTTTCTTACCACCGAGGTGTGGCCTCATGAGGAATGCGCAATCCATCGGTGTCAGCCCGCACACAAACAAGACCTTGCTGCGCTCGTGACTCCACAGTAACTAGCCACAAAACACGAAAACAGGTTGTTCGATCTATATTACCAACGTAGGATAGGGCTCTAAATTTGTACAGTGGCTCATACCGGTACCTACTTGGCGACGCTATAACGGCCTGGTAGATCCTAAGGAATTGTTTCGACCACTGAGCCACAAGGCGAAGTTCAGAAGTCACTAGTTTAAGGTAGCCACGCAATAGGTTTGCAAGTGTGTCGACGGAACTTTACTCTATTCGTGTGTGTCAGCCTTTTGACGCATTTCCAAATTACGAGGTTTCTGCCCCCACTTTAGCAGTGGTTAGCCAGCGCCTTGATGTTGACGTAAACCGCATACGCTACGAGATATAGCCTGCGTATCTCGACAGACGATACAGTGCGACGAACGTTGCACAACCGGAGTTAGTCCACACAACTGTGGTTGGCTCTTTCTGCGTGCCTCTATGTTAACACTGTGATGAGTCCACCAAAACCATTGGTATTTTAGCTCTTACTTTTTTATTCGCATGTTTGTAGTTATCTTTTGGGCCATTTTACAGGACTTTCTAAGCATCTGTTATTTTGCCCGTATTGTACCAGTTTCCAATGGTTCCATTGCTTACCTGCCATTCACTCTTTGTGGCTTTTGTCGAGGTAGGTTGGGTCCAGACGGTTTAACTGTTCTCCTTACTTCCGCACGCGGCACGCCTCTTATGTGCCCCCACTTGCGATTAGCATCCGGGTAACACCTTACCCACCGGCATATACACAGCTTACCAAGAAGCCACTTTGCAACAGATGCACTTGTAACATGTTTGTACACTTACCAATCATCCCCGTATTACCATGGGCCCGTTCACGCGGGTGCGTCGCTCACCGTCTAGAAGCGACTTTCTATTTTAGTTATTTAATTAAACAGAACTACGTCCTTAGCTCATAGGCTATTGTCAAACTGGGTTACTGACCCAATTTAGTGCAGAAGGTGATTGAAGGACAACGATGCACGCCGCGTGGACGAAATTTGCCGACTGCTCAAACGCACTCCGGAAATGGACCAAATACTAATGCCGGTAATTTTTATTTTGTGAAAGCATTAAGGCGCCCACCTACCCCATACAACGGATTTCAACTGAAAGGATGGGGAAGCTCAGCAACCGATCAGGAAGAGTTCAAGGCTTATTTACAAGTGCATACCTAACAAACTCCTAGACCGCAACCTCACGGTTCAGGAAGGCGAATATACCATCAATTGAAGGCTTAGTGCTCGGCAGTGAGAAGCTCATGGTTGCTACAGTAAAGACATGCAGTCCTAAGGGTCGAATCTATTAGTTACTGTACTATTAGGTTATAGTTGTCAAGTCAAATGCTACTTTGCATAGTCTGAAAAAATGCAATGTATTACAGGTTATCACGTTCCCTAAGCATTATTGAAATAGCAAAGTTAATCATTCACGACTGAGTGCAATCCAGAAATAGCCTGGTGAACGTCCTTGAAAATATTCAACTCACTGTAGTGTGAAACGGAAACTGTCGTGCCGCGCTGCTTGACTTTGAACTGGTGAGTACGCTGCGCTCTCATTTTCCTTGCAGGAACCTGGTCGTGCGCTTTAACGGATGAAGTGCAGGCAGAAGATTGCCTGTAACGTTTATCTTCCTATTTTATAACATTATTTCCTCCATTGTAGCTGGCTACGTGTTGCTTATTAACCTCCAGTTCCAATCTCCGGAGTTCTTCCAAGCTTGTATATTACAATATTTGCGACCCTGCCGAGGCACATTCAGCAGGAAACCTGTATCACTTGTCTAATGAAGATAATGTCGAAAACCACCGACAAAGCAGATGACGAAAGTAATTTTGATGCTAATGACCCGACGGCAAAGCCCGCCGCTTCGCTCGATGTGTTATCACGGACTTTGCAGAAGATGTCGACTTCATGAACTTCTTCAACCAGCATGCCATCTATCCCGTCGCCAGAACGCTTTACCCTGGGGATGCTGTACTCCAGGTGGGAAAAGCAAGTCCGGTTTTTCTGCGTCATTTCCCATCCAACCAACAGGCAGCTGCGCTCTCCAGCCTGCTCTCGGAAGAGGACTTTGATATTGTTGCAGACAGTAAACTTTTGGATAAAGAAGTTACAACAGAGGCTTTTCCTGCCATGCGCCGATTATTAGCCCGCCCCGGTCTACCTGCGCCCCTACGCAGGGCATTCCATGCACGTTACCAATATCCGGGGAAACCATCCGCACATGCGTTCGCGAGTTGCAGTGGATGGTCGATATCGCATACGAGAACGAAACGCCAGACGAAGGTGAAAAACTGGTATAGAGCAACTCCTAGTAGGCATTCAAACACCGTCTGTTAAAAGGGAGTTCATGCGATACCCTCCCAGCCGTTTGGACAAAGCATTGGAAACAGGTGACCAGTTGGAAGAAATGGACGCAGCGATGGGTACACCTACATCTGGCTGGTTTGCCGTACCTGGGAACACACGACATAGACGCGTCCTACCTGAAAGAATGACGGGATACACTGGCCGTCTTCAGAGATATCCCGCCCCACGACGACAGGCACAATCAGGTTTTCGTTGGCCCCGCAGACAAACGTCATACCGCGGATCGTCTCGCTACAGGAACACGCCAGGTGAGCATGCCACG